CCAGAAACCTTGAAAACAGGACTCACTGCCCAGAAAACATATATGGACACTTTTCTGATAGGGGTGCAGAGGTTGCTGTGGCAGTGATAATTCCCCCTGGTGAGTGAGTCAATGTTTTCAGCTGCCCACAAAGCCACCTAGGTGAAATAGCATCCATCCCATGTCAGTGTGTTGGAGCAACCCACAAGGCAAGGCAGGAAGATGGAGCAGAGCAGTTCAGGTGTTCCTGTACCACAGAGTTTTCTGACTGAACAATTTGCTTCCACAAAGTTTGGAAAAGAACAGAGGGGTTCCATGGTCATGCTCCTTGTGCCATTGGACTGCTCCACACTGTCCTTGTTGCTTTTGGCTATCTGAAAAGTGTTCTTGTTCCTTGCCAATGCCTCTTTCTTGTCTAGTCTGTGGGCTTATTCACACTTACTTCTTCTGCACTCTTTCCAGGGACAGTGCACACTTTAAAGTTCCATGTCTCAGGAGCACCCCCTTTTTTTGCTCTCAAGCTTTCCCCATGAAAACTTGCTCTTTAAAGGTCAGCTGGAGCAAATAGCAATCCGTGGAAAACTTGAATGGATGCTTGCTCAGATTGAGCACTAAAGAGGGTCTTTTCAGAGAAAGCTTAAGGGCAAACAAACAAACAAACACTATGATATGGAGCTTTTAAGCTCAGATCTGTGTCTGGAAAGAGCAGGCAAAAGGTAAGTGTAGAAATGCCCTGAGAGATGTAGGAAGTGTATGTGTAGAAACCACGGAATTTTTGAGTTCAAGATTAAGAGACTGCTCCATTGTTCCACTTATTGCCTGTGGCCCTGGCTACCACTGTCAAGGTGGTCCCCAGAAGTTTGTCCACTACAGAACATGCCTCTTCGGCAGAAAAATGTCATCTCTGTAGTACTGCATGAATCTCAAGTAATGGGAAAAGCTACCCAAACTCACTATTTGAATTTCTGTTCACAGAGCTGTTTGTACTTTGCACCTCTTCTGCACCTGTTCTGAAATGTCCTGTCCCTCTTAAGAAATGTCACTGCACATTTGCATACAGTGCTAATACTTAACCAGGAACAGTTCTTGAGGGGGGTGTAGTGAAAAAGGGCGAAAATAAAAACACTTCTAATTTTTAAAAGGCTGTGCTTCTTAGGTGCTAAAACCTAATGAGGTTTCACACTTTGTGTGAGTGTGGAAATGGCTTTGGGTATCTTGGTGAAGGTTGTCCTTAGGATTAGAACAGCCAGTCAAAAAAGATTTGCTGCTGTTTCCCGTGAATGACAGGTCAATTAGAAGATCTCTTGGTAAAGATCTGAAGACCACTTTGGATCTCCCCCCCTCCAATGTTCTCAGATATAGGTGTTTGGGCAGAGGCTTATAACCATTTTCCATTTCTTGTTTCAGAATAAAATAGATGACTGAAGAAAATGCATCATTTGGGCTGCCTACAAACCATACATGTAAATCACACTCAAAGGGCTTTAACAGACATGGCTTTTCCCATGGAATCACGGGAACTGTGGTTTACATACAACAGAACTACAATTCCCAGCATCCTTTTAAAAACTATAGTTCACAGGAATATTTGGGGGAAATCATGTACTTTAAATATCCTTTAAATGAATAGTGTATATGCCGCCTAGGAGAGCTGTTATACACATGATACTCTGAAATAGGATCAATCTGTCTCTGTCTGTTTCAGTCACTCTGTGTTTGTGCGTGTGCGCACGTGTTGGGGAGAAGGGAGTAAATTGACAACCCACAAAAATCAACTTATCTCAGAAAGCAAAAAGCAGAAACATTTTTTAAAGGCTGCCTTCAGGGTACTTCACTGAAAATATCATCGTTCTGATGAAAACTTAGCAAATAGTAATTATTGTACAAAGATCTTTCAGAAAGAGTCTTTTTTTCCTTGAATGCAAATGGCTTCACAGTTGAGAGAGGATGGAGTGTGCTGGCAATTGGGGGAAGATTTAATCTTTGGAGGAAAATAAAATGCAGTCACTTTGCTTTCCTTCACAACTCGGTTAATCACATTGCATGCTGCAATCCTTCCTCCCCCATCTCTATTTGTTAAATATGTTAATTCAGAGGAAAAGCCTATTATTTCCCAAGAAATTGCTTTTGTTTTGCATTTGTATTCATTAAAACTTATAGAAGAAAAGTTAAATCTTGTTCCTTTTATTAGTTTGACACCAAAGTGAAATATTTAGAGGGAGAGAGGAAAACAACTTGGGAGAGGTATAATTACATCTCTCTCAGGCATTTTAATTAGGTGTCTCTAGAACAGTGCACTTCTTTTCCGAGCCTGCCAGGAGAAAGGGTTAGCAGGGCTGGATTAAGATCTTTATGTTGGGACAAGAAAAATATAGATATGAAATGAGAATTCCTGGATGCCAAGATCCAAGTCTGGGGCAAGTACTCTTTGATGAGAGAACCCCAACAGAGACATAAAATCACAAATATGCAGCAAAGTAAACTATAAAGACCTTTAAAAATGCCTTTCCTTCCAAAGTTCACCTCTTCCCCTAGCATAGAAAAAGACCACACATTTGGAAATTTTAAAATGGTTTATTTACAAACTATGCAAAGGTCTGATTCATGTGCTTTTCCATACAGCATTCAGAAAAAGTTGCACAGGCAATAAAACTTAGTTTATTTGCAAAGTGGTGAAGGTTCCTAGATTATTGGTATAGGAACTCAAGAGTGGCTTGTGAGAGCCATGTGGTATGAGCTGGGAGCAGCCAGACTTCCTCACACAATGAATTTCTCAGTTAGACTGAAAGAGAACAAAGGCTTGATGGCATTATTCCTCCAAAGGTGAGAGGAAGTAGACATAGCTAAGCCTAGCAGGACAGCTTACTCTATGGTATTAATCCCTTCATGTTGTATATGAGGCTGCTTATCCCACACTTTAGAGGTCCTAACAGGTTATAGTGCTCCCCCCAAAATACAAAAACAATACTAAAATATAAAAAAAATTAAAAAATAAAACAGATTTTTTGCAACACACCACAGGATCTGATTTCCTCACATATTTTTTATCTATGTTAGCAGGATTTATCTCCTGACTGATGTGGGGAGAAATAAAAAGAGAACAGAAAAATGTGTGGAAAGTGTGGAATGTAAAGAAATCTAACAATGTTCTGATTTTCCCCATAATGACTACTTTAATGCTTTTTATTTTTTGAAATTTCAAATGTCAAATCCCCCCCTTTTTTTTGAATTCTCATTTTTTGTGCCCTAAGCACGTGTTTGGTCTGTCTACTGGATAATCCAGCAATGGGAGCTAGAGAGGTGTTGTGCCTGCTCCGGGAGATGGGACTGGGCACATAATATGGAACGTCAGTACCGCAAGATTGGGTGGGGCAGTGTAGGATTTTCTTTAAATTTTCATGAGGACTTAAAAAAAAATTCTCAAACTGATGTGGAAATGGGTTGAACTGAATTTAAGACTGGAAAAATTGAAAAACTGAAAGGAACCCATCAGAACCTAGTATTGATACCCCATGCTTTAATAATCTCTAATCTGGACTGCTGCAGCACACTTTACATGGGGCTGCTCTTTGAAGATGGTCCAGAAGCTATAACTGATGCAGAATAGCATTACCATGCTTTTGTCTGGGGCAGAATCTCCAGCCATTTGTTACTGATCTGCTGTAGGCTGGCTGTGTCTCTTCAATCCACTGTGCCTTCAGTGAGAATTAGGTATGCAGTGCTTATCTGATAGGTTTTGGATGATGATGATCTTATTTCATTTGTGAATCACTTCCTATGATGCATCTCAAAGCAATATACAACATATTGTGTTTTGACTAGTGCAGACAATTATCACAAATGTTCCTTATATCTGATCCAAACTAAGGGGCAAATAATGAATGCCTGGATGTGTTAAACTTTTGCACAAGGTATAAGGCAGAATATAGATGTTATGAATGAATGAGGTGACACAGTGCTTGTATTTGAGAGCTACTGTTTTAAACATACCCAGATACTCAGAAGAAGAAAAAAACAGTGTTGTAAATATTGAAAGGATAATTCCCTGGAGACTATGTTTGTAGCTCAGCGCATGAAAGTACCTGAAGGGGAATTATAGTGTGTACCTAAAACTGTCAATAAGCAGTTAATCAATCTGCCAGCTTTCTAAATGCATGACATTGAGAAGCAGCTCTGCAGCTATTACTGGAACAACTGAAACATTCCTCCTGATCTATATTCTAGGAGGAGAGGCAACTCTCCCCCCTCCCCCCGGAAACTAAGGAACAACTGTCACGGAAGGCGCAGAAAATCACTTCTGAGGTGGCAGCCTAGTGTTGAAACAGTTATAGATTAATTCATCTCATGAATGTCTCAGGAAGCAAAAACTAAGTGAAATTCTTTTCCAAAGCTGCACTTGTAAGAAAAAAAAAGGTTTGAGTATCAGCATTAGAAGGGCAAGTGTCCACTGGGACTCTGCAAAGTGGTTTCCACAGCAATTTGTGCACTGGCAAATGCCACTTTGTGTGTGTGTGTGTGTGTGTGTGTGTGTGTGTGCATGCACGCAGGAAGTCAGATGTTCTTTTTGTGTGCAAAAAAAAAAAATCAGGTTAAAACTCATTAGTGCTCACCTCAGGAATTTGATGGACTCGCCAACCCACCTAGCTGTCTCAAAGTGAACAAATAAGAGGTAAAAATGGCTTTTTAATATATTTTTAATGTGTTAGTTGTTCTCCCCCACCCTCAGGCAGACATCAGCCCTGCCCCCATGCCAAGCATATCCCCTTGACTGTTTGCGTGCCATTTTAAAAGTATGGATTTTTGCATGGTTTCTAAGAATTACTATTAAATCCTTGCTTTTGAAGGCAGCAAAGGAGAGAAAATAAGGAAAACACTGCATTTATTTTATTTTACACATTTTTATCCCACCTGTGCTTCCCCGTTTCTCAACATTTCCTTCCTTCCTTGGAATCATTGAAATGTGGAGTTGGAAGGGACCACAAGCATCATCTAGTCCAACCACATGTAATGCAGGAATCTTTTGCCCAATGTGGGGCTTGAACCCACAACCCTGAGATGAAGAGTCTCATGCTGGACCAGCTGAGCTATCCTTCCTTCTTCTCTGTTATTTCTTACCCACTTCAATCTAGAGTCCCAGGGTGTGTTACATAAACAGGTAAAATACAGTCACAAAATAATAAATAATCAGCAAATCATAAAACAGATGCAACTGATTTTTCAGTTAAAAAGAAAAAACCTGGGGTGTTAGTTGTTGTTGTTATTCAGTAATTTAATAATTCCATTTCTTGGAAAGCTGGAGTAAGCCTGGACAAATTTAATTTGGTTTAATTTGGTTAAATTGGTTTCTTGCAGATCCTCTAATTTCTTATATTTAATAAATATAACCTGTTTCCCCATGTTATTTGTCTCAACTATTCTTTGGTGTGTTCGCATCTGGGTGTCAAGGACAGAAGATCAGTGGAGCTTGCTCAAAGTACTCAGTGTCTGCCATTTCTGAAACACTACTTTCCCCAGTTATTTTAAAGCATTTCTAAACACCTTTAATCCTGAACGCAATAACATAAGCTGTGACATGAAATTGCATATCCTTAATGATAAATGAAACTGAGAGGAACACAACTATTGAGGAAATAGCGGCAATAAATTCATTTTGAAATGTTGGGACAAATAAAAATGGGCCCATCTGCAATTTTCATCCAATCAGTAAGAGGGAAATGGTATTTTATCTATTTTAAAAATACAACTAAATTGTAAAGGCATATAGCTCGTAAGTCCCTGCACTACTTTCTCTAGCATTTGGCAGACATCATCCACTCTGAAGAGGCTTCTTTGTTTGCAGATTTAATCCAGTTCTGTCACAAAGTACAAAACTTGCTTCCGAAGTTTCTGAAGCAAAGCTTGACTTCAGATTTGAGTCAAAGCAGAGCAAGCCCAAAGTGTTCTAAGTCAAATCAGCCCATTTTCTGAAGTACTGAAGAAGGGAGTCCTTGGCACACAACCCGTCTTTTTACATGAAAACAGCACCAGTCCTGTTGCTAATGGACTTGCAAGTAAGAATGTAAAATGTAGAAAGCCTTGCTGCTTGAAATGTTGGTGTGATCTGTTGTCTCTTGCTTTACTCAGAGGGCTCCCCACTATGTGCTTATGTAAGAAACAAGGCCTGCATGCTTCAGATAACTTACAAGCTGAAGTCTCCAGTGTTCTTGTGACTCTTGAAAATGGGGACAGCAGAACCCACAACCAGCTTATCTGGGTAAATAGTTCAACAGAAGGAGGAAAGCACTTTTAAAAAATGCTACCCAGCCATTTCTGAGGGTTGTTTTATTGCCCTGGAGAATTCAAGATCCCCATCTTTAAGATGAATCACGTATCACCACCCAGCCTAATTAACGCACACAACATCCCTGATTCTCACGGTATATAACTGAATAGGGAAGCCAACAAATCTGATTCTTATTTATGTAAAGATCGTAAAGCTAACAGAACCTTTCGAACGAGGTTTTATCACCTTGGGGAAGGGTAAAAGAAAAGGGAAAAAAAGAGCAAATGGTAAAATGTCTATGGTTGGTAGACACATTGCAAAATTACTGCTGCCTACAGAATCCTGTTAGCGGTTAACCTCTAACGGCTTGTATATGTAGCTACAGAGCTTACCAGAGGTCACTCCTAAGTGCATAATGATTTAGCCATCAGCATCCACACTTTAAAAAGAGAGAGCTGAGAATTGATGCACACACACCACTAGAAGAAGTGTTATGTTTGCATGTTTCAAGTCGAGGTGCTTTGAATAGGGGCAAAAACTCCTGCGAGAATTTGACATAGTGCCAAAGGAACTAGAAATAGAAACCTTACATTAAGCAGTGTGCTTAGAAATCATGATAGCTGATGGAACAGTTTGCCCTTCTCCTTGCATAAGGGTGGACAAATCTGTAGTTTTCAGTTTTTCTGTTTCTCTTCCCACCCATCCCAATTTTAAGATCAGTTCCTTGCATTACCAAACCAATTTGGTTTTGTTTTAATGCCGTCATGAAAATTCATTGGCATTTTAGTATGAATGTCTCCTGATATATAGATTTTTTATTCAAAGCAATTTGTTGTGATTTAATGCACTCTTCTATGTTATTTTCACTAATATCTGCATTTTATGCACACTTTCTCCTGATATACACATATGCGTGCACATCATTTGCCTGGAGAACTGCATTGTAAAATTCAGAAAAGGGTGATTTGTTAGACTGTTTTCAAAGTTTGAATCATTTAATATGAACTGAATTGAACTTCTCTGACTTTCCTGCTCCTTCAGAATATTTTGCCTGGCCCAAAAATGAGTAGTTCAGATGTCCCTTTCTGTGTGTCTGTGAACATGTGGAGGTAGAAGGTGGGCCCCTCCACCATCCCTGGATGAAATGCTGTTTATTCTATGTAGGAAGTCAAAATCTATCATTTAACAAGCTGAATATATAATATAACCAATGTAACCTTGTCCATTTACTTCATAGGCAAAGAAGGGTTTTTAGAAATCAGAAGTGAAAATAAAATAGTGAAGCATTCCTTGTACATTTTTTCTACTTCAAGACCAGTTAATTCAGTATACCAAAAATGTGAGGCTAAGAATTTTGAGAAGCACCCCTCCACTTTGATGGAATCATTTCTTCTTGGTTAATAGCTTTTCCCTTTCAAATGAATGATGAGATTTATATAAATGACACAACAAGAGATGCTGTGTTGTTAAACACAAGTCCTGCAAAATTCAATAGAAGCTGTGTTTTTTTTAAGTGTGAAATATGCATGTAATTTGACAAGAAGGCAACAAGAAATGAATGCCTAGTGTAATGCATCATTTGGTAGGTAAAGGCCATTTATTAGTATTACATTTCATATTCCCCCCTTTGCAGAGCTTAATACCTTTGCTCTTCACTTAGCAGTGAAAATTGCATTTATATCTACCACAAATGTATGAATATATATATATTTCTTGTTTTTATCAGTTTCAATTTAGAAACATATTTGTAATATTTAGTTTCTTTTTGTACCTTTTAAAGAAACATGTAAAAGTTTCACGAGTATTCTCAAAGAACTCTGGAAGAGGTCTGAATAATTGAGAGATCCTTGTTAAATATTTAGAAAATATGTCTTGCCATTTTGATACTCTCTTGCACTACCCTATTAAAATTTATAGAAAGGAAGTTTCTCTCAAACTTGAAAGGGTGGAGAGAGCTCTTTTGCAGAATCAAAGGACTGACTTCTGTTGTGGCTGGGATATCCCAGGAGTGTCAAAAAAGATGGGAGAAAATGAATGGGCAGAGTTTATGACCAGCCCAGGCATTTTGCTACTGAAGGAAGAGCAACAAATAGCACACTCCAAGGTTAGAATGCATCACCAAAAAGGAAAGAGAGGGAAAAAGACACATATTTATATAAAATTTGCGTCCACTGATCTATGTTCTGGTAACCTCAAGACTAGACTATGCATTTTATGTGCATTTGAAATGCATTTGAAAATGGTTCAGAAGCTTCAGTTATTGCAGAAAGCAACTAATGCAACACTAATTCTATTCTAGCTGCACTGTTTGCATATATGCTTCCAAGCACAAAGTGCTGGTTTTGACCTATAAATCCCCGAACATTTAGATCAGCTTTTGAGGCATTTCTCCAGATCACCTCCCTGAGTGAGGCTCAGAGGGTGATGACAAGGGAAAGGGCCTCCTTGGTTGTGATTCCTCCTATGTGGAATGCTATCACTGGGGAGTGAATAGACTTGAACATGATGCCCTCCATATGTTGTTGGATTTACTCCCACCATCCCTAACCACTGATTACACTGGCTGGGTTTTATGGGAGTTGGGAGCCCAACAACATCTAGGGAGCACCATGTTGGATTACCCAATTTAAAGGATGCAGTGAGCGGCTTTTGCTGTTGCAATTCTCAGCTGTCTTCAATTTGCCAAAAGAAAGGAAGTGAAGCTCCCAGCCTTCATATCTGCATTCAAAGAAATGGTACCTGGCTTGGTGATTTTGACAGGTTTTTATCTTGTTAATGTCAGTAGGAGGATCTGAGTCAATATACACGTTAGCTCAGGTGGGAGAAGTCTGGTCTCATCCTGGGCCAACATGGGCAACATAGTGACTGTCTGAAAGCAACACTAAAATCTCAGGTTTTTTGCTGCGAATTCCTGTCCATGTTTCTGTGTGTGGCTTTGGCTAAGTCAATGACTTGTTGAAGAATGATTAGAGGTGGGGGACCCATAGGAGACATTTGAAGCTGAGGATTAATTCGAACTTCCACCACATTATTAATGTATCAATAATGTTTTTGTTAGAGTCAACTGACCAATAATACAAAATCACAGCCCTAATATAACCCCATTAAAAAGAGTGACAAACAAAGAATGGCATGGCATTCATAACAGGGCTGAGAGATAGAACTCTGCTTTTAAAAATTAAGCACCTGCACACATACACATGGGGAGCTGGGGGGGGGAGAGAGAGAGAGAGAGAGAGAGAGAGACTGGTCATTGACAGTAATAAAGAGATTTATATAGGCACACAAACTTTTTGGAAGCCCTTTTTTTTTTTTTTGGAGGACTATAGTTATGATGTTTTTGCTGCTACTGTTTTGCTGTATGTGGTGAGTTGGAAAGGCTCTTATCACTTCCTTAAGGGAGGTGAACCAAGCCAGGGTGGTCTTGCCCACAATGGCAAACACACAGTCTTTCCCTTGCTGTCTACACAAGTTCCACTTTCCTATACTGGAATTGTTGGTTTCTTTCTGCAGATTTTTGTGTTATATTTTATAAATGATAAACTTTTACCACAGTCCTGCTTATTGTTCTGGGGTTCATAGGCAATGGTATTTATTTATTGTGTAATCCTAACTACCTCTACGCAGATGTTTGCCCTATTTAATTTAATGGGATTTACTCACAGGTAAGTGGGGTTAGGATTGCAAGCTTATTTACCACAACATCTAACACTGGCTTTTTTAAAGGAACTAGTGAATGCACAGGAAATGTGCTAATTCTAATGCAATGCTTATTATCTGGCACATCTGAATAAAGATTAAAGATACCTAGTGCCTCTAATTTGATG